CCCTGCTTCCAAAACATGCGATTTTGACAATTTCAAAAATCATGGGGAATTGCTGACCACTTTCAAATTCGATTTATTATGCAAAGTAATGATGAAAAAACTTTATTGAATGAATTTTAAAGACATTTTGGATTGAATCTTAAAGAAAAAATCGAAAAATGGCGACTTTGATCATTCCGATACACAGTTGGGGCATGTGAAATAGCCGCCAGTCATACGAGCGCATTTCAGGTGAACGGGTCGGTCGCACTCGTTGCAATTGATGCTGTTGTTCCGATTCAATTTTTTTGGCAAATCCTTCTTGCATATGATGCAGAAATCAACGTCTTCCTCTTCGCTTGAGGACTCGATGCGGCCACGTTGACGCTTTCGTGCTGGGGTTGACGATGCCGGAGTTTTGCGTTTTTTTGGTTGAACTTGTTGTTGCTTTTCCAATTTTTCACGCTTGGTATCAGCTTTCTTTTGTAATTTTTCAACAACTTCAGGCGATGTTAAAATGGCTGTCGTCATTGGTTTTGGGCCCCGATTTGATTTTTTAGCTGGTGTACCTTTCTTAACTGGTCCAACTGCGTTTAATGCGTCACGAAGATCTGCAGCAGATATGGTGCCCATGGATGTGGTTCCCGATGTACTTGCCACTTCCGAAGCTTCCGAAGTTGACACTTCTTCATGTGCTCCGACATTTTCTGCAGATAAAACCACAATTCGACGACGATCTTCTTCATCTACATCGTTTTCTTCCTCTTCGAATGATTGGCTTTCACCACTAAATTTAGCAGCAAGAAAATCCACTTCGGTGAACGTGTTACTATTGAGTGGATATACGCCTGTTGTTTGAAAAGCACTTTTGATGTTTTTTCGGGTAGCGCATAAGTCCAAGCATTGATCAGCGATAAGAGGGACGTGGTGTAGGTCAAAGGCAACCGTTGCATTCGAATTCTTCCATTCCTGACACTTTTTTGTGTACATGATCTTCATTGGACCAAAAACGCTAACATCCAACGGCTGCATGCGATGAGTGCAGTGTGGGGGAAATGACAACATTGTAATGTCATGCTTGATGGCTTTATCGATTGCTTCGACAGACAAATGTGAAGTATGGTTGTCGAGCAGCAAGAGCGTTGGCGAACCTTTTTGAGCACCAGAAAACTTAATGAAATGATCCATGTACGTGTTGAATTCTGCAGATGTCATGTATCCGCTGCCGTTCGCAAAACCAACTGCATCACTACTTGCATGTGTCATGTATGTTGCGCTCATCTTCTTTCTCGGAAAGAGATAGAATGCTGGAATTGTTTGACCACTGGCGCTAATCGACAAAGCCATAGAGACATTCGTGCCTCTTTCAGCAGATGTTGCTGTTCCAACACGTTTTTTTCCTTTTTGTGCTACCGTTTTAACAGTCTTATGCGGTACAGTTGGAAACCCAGCTTCGTCCATGTTCCAAATTCGATGTGGTTCATAATTGTTGGCCGACATAACCGTGCTCAAATTTTTATAAAATGCGTCAACGTTTTCTTTATTGAATGATTTTGCACGATTTATACTCGTCTGTTCAGGTGTACGCAACGATAGATTCTTGTGGCGATTCATGAATGCATAATACCAATCACTGCTGGCTTGTTTATTTTCATCCCACGCCGCTGGATATTTAGCTTCGATCAGTTTGGCAAATTGGTATGCCAATCTTTTGAGCTCTGCAATGCTCAAACCATAATAAACATTGCTAGCAGTAATCAAGTAATTCATCAATGCCTTTTCTTGCGCCGCAGTGAATATCTGATATAAAAATGATTTGGTTGTTAGATTTATTCAAAAAAATGTTTTATTTTAAAATCACTTACTGGTTTTTTACCCGGTGTAGCATTGCCAGCGAGAAATTCCACCAATACTTTGTCGTCAACACTTGAAACATCCAAATTCGCTTCATCCAAAATTTTGACGTAGCGCGTCAAGGTATTATGACTGATTCCCATTCGATCAGCCACGGAACGGATTGAATGTTTATTTATTTTCACATCCTTGATGCCTTCCAAAAGAGCGTCAAAATCGATTGATGAGCCTTTATTGGCATAATAACGCGGCATCGGTGTCATAGGCGGCATGATTACTTCAAAATATCAAAAAACCAAAAAAAGTTGAAAAAATAGCACAAATTTTTTTTTTAAAATGCCATCAAAATATATTTTGTGGATTATTTGTCGATATTTTGCATCAAAACAACACTATATGTTCATAAAATGCGATTTTGACACGTGCAATGCAAGAAATGCCGTGGTCAGCAATTCCCCACAAAAAGTGGTCAACAATTCCCCATACATATATGTTGAGAAAATGGCGTCGCATAAGCAATGTACATGCATTGACTATGGAAAATTATTTTGCGCGTCGGTAGAGCATTGCCGTACGAGAAAAATTAGAATAATTACCTGGCAAATATCTGCACAAAACTTCTTAAAACAATCACCAAAAAAAATAATTAGATTGATTTTTCGATATAAAAATTCACTTGGATAGCGTACACAGCATATAATGCGTCCGATCACGTTGACTACCAATTAGAAATTGAGTTTAGGTTAAAACAAGACGATGACAAGCATCGGATATGTCAAAAGTGTTTGAAACGTCAGAGAAACTGACGTGGTCAGCAATTCCCCATGGTCAACAATTCCCCACTCTCCCCTA